AGTTAATCGTGAAATCTGTTTTTAAAACACACTATCCCATTTTCCAACCAACAATTTCCACGAAGGACATTGTGTCTATTTTGACAGTGTAAGTTTGTCGCATCCAACAAACGTTCTTGAACTCTACAACAAGAATTGTTTCATATTCAGTCGAAGGACCATTTTGGATATTCCAAAAAGTGGTCGCGTGCAACAAACGACTCTCCTTGTTTCAGCTCAGTATATGGCATTTTGCAATTGCTTAACAATCAATCGAGGCATTTGCTGCATTTTAACGTTCTCTTTAATTTTAAACAGCCCAACTCTCATTAAATAAATGTCAGACGTAAGTTTATATTTTTAACGCAATAATTGTAGGGAACATACAATCTAGTTCAGTAGGATGAGAGTAAATAAACTGGGACATTTCATAGCCTAATATAACCCAAGCTGGAGCATCTCAACACCAATTTTGGTCTCGCTATTCCCGGAAGTTCAGGTAGTAGAGAACCACATGTAATACACATCAGAGCGCACGCTTCCGTCTCATTCCACTCACCCCCACAAACTGAGAGCCTAGAACAGGCTAATTTTGCAGCCGAGATGATTACTTCAAAATGTCCCATGCCCCAGAGGTTGCCCGAGGAGCCATGTTAAAGTTTTCAATAGGTCGGCCGCCGCCATGGAGTCTTCAGAAATGTCTGCACAATTTTCATACTACTACCTTTAGAAAAACTCCACAAAATACGAATGTTTCCAAATTCCCCTTATTTAATAAAATACTTATGACTACAATATATTAAAATGCTCATGGAAACACGAATAACAGCAAGAATCACTGATTCATCAGTTCTAATTGCAACCACTTATCCCTGAAAAACTTTTAAAACGCGCTGAAATAAAAAAAATCGTATAACTACCTTTCGCAACAACCCACGTTAAGACTTGCAACAACACCGCCTAGTTTTGTCATGGGCAGCTGTACACAGGCTATTTTGTCACATCCTAGATGGGTATTAAAGGAGCTACGTCATGGTTTACGCATCTTGAAAAGTTTAGCCTAAATTTTTCAAGTTTGTCGTTTGTAATCCGTGTTAATCTTCT